TGGCCGCCTAGAGCTTCCAGCCAGGTGTTGCGACCACACTGGGCTCCCATACTCCGTGAAACGTGCACAAATAAACCACAGCCATAACCAAAAGCACCCTATTCGACTCGCTTGAGTGTGAAGCGAGAGCGAGCGGTAGTGTCGCAACGGGCTCGGGTCGCTGTGGCGGCCGGTCAGCCAGCCGGCAGTCACCGGGGGCGAGCGGCGTCGCGCGGGCGGCGCCGTGTCGCGAGGCGTCGCCGCCGGCGCAGCGGGCGTGGTTCAGCCGGCCGGCACACCCCCCTCAAAGGCGCGCACAGTCATCGCTCGTCGAAATCGATGGGCGTCGGTTCCGGCGACGCGTCGCACTTGCGCGTAGGGGCCAAAACGCTGCGCCCGACACCGGCGGCGGGCCCAGCAGTCATCCTATGTCCACTCGTTACCACCTCCCGCCCTGCAGCTGGGTGGTCTTTCAGACGGTGCGGGCGGATATGGCGCCGCAATCCCGAAGTCTTATTCGTCGGGCTTTCCTGCAAACCAGCGCAAGTCGGTGTCGACGTGGCCGGCGCCGCTCGCGCCTCGTCGTCCGACGCCATGTCCCTGGCGCTTCGCCCAGCGACCGCTATTGATTTTGCGGGCGGCCCACGTGAGTGTGGAGGGGACTGCGCGCGACTGTGAATTCAGACTGGAGGGGACGCTCGCGCCGACGCTGGCAGCCGGACATGGGCGCACCCAGAGACGTACGCGCGGCTGCCACCGCTCCCTCCATCAGCCCGGGTCTGTGACGGCGACCCGCGGCCCCCCTCCCCCCAACAGAGGGGTACGTCTGAGACGCCAGGCGCTCATCCAGCACCCAGCACCGGCGGCGTCTCCACGCAGCGGCTCAGTCCTGACCCATCCAGCACCGCCCGGCACCAGGACAAGTGGCGCCACCACAGCGGTGCCGGCCGGTGCGGAGCCAGCACCCCTGGGCGTTGGCTATTATGGCGGCGCGCCGGCCGGCTGGCCGGCGCCGGTCCCTGGGAGCCTCCCACCGGTAATGGCCGCGCGAGGAAACCTCATGCAATTACGGCAGGCCCGCCGCGTCACTGACGGCGGCCGCTGACTCAGTCCGCCGAGCGCCG